GGAACAAGCGAAGAGGTAAATAGCAGACTTTCGCAGTGAATATCACTGGCGTCTCGGGTCACTCGCTCGCGCTCGCACGGCTTACGAAGTCTTCACAATCGATTGAGTCAACCCCACAGCGCTCTCAGATGTTAATTAAAACAGTAGACCGTAGAGGAACACATGAGATCTTTGGAAGCTTTCCAACGTAGGAAGTACCATGACACTATTGCGGGACAGCGTAGATAGTCCACTGACCAAACTGTTACTTCCATTAAGATGAAGAGATCTTCGTATTTTATGGGTGTACTAAGGGGGCATCAACCCGTGAGTTAACATCTCCATAAGCTATGTAAAGTGAATCCGTCTATATGCGGAGCATGTACAGAGAATTACGAAACGCTGGAACACTATCTTTGCAAGTGATTAAGTCACTACATTTCCCACGATGCTATCAGCTCTAACAAATCTTAAAATTAGGTGAACCTCTTGCATCCACCTAGTTGGGATACATACAATGAGCCTGCTGAAATGCTTAGATGCGACAACTTGCGGTAGAGATGGTTCCATATTGGTGGTTACATCAATATGCAAAACTATTGCAACTGGAACATAGAAACCCAAGATTTATTGTTGAAAAACCTCTGCATTCTCAAAGTGTAACTGTTGGATGTGACTTGGGATCCGGTGGAGTCTTTGGACCTTACTTTTTCGAATATAAGGCTGAGTCAACAGTTACGGTGACTGCTGGTTTCACTATGAATTTGATGGTACGAGCCACACAAGCAAGGAAACCATCAATCTTTTGTGGGGAAAAATTCCGGACCGTGTTACCTTTCGAAGAGGTGGCCGCAATTGGCCACCATGATCTTGAGATTTACTACCTTGCAGCATCTGCCTTTGAGGCCACGTGAAAGATAGAGTCTACGCCAACCGGCCAACGTCTATTCGAACACCTCACGGTTAGGATTCGGAAAACTGTGCTTTAAGGTCCATCATTATTTAAAATAAAAACTAACAGATTTCTTTTGAAATACATTTGTTGTTGTAACAGCTTTAGCATAAACTGCTTCCTAGGATTTGTTGAAACATCATTATTCTCAATGGAATTGTTGCAAATTTTTGTTTTAAAGTATTCCAAATTATGTTATATTTAAACTGCAGGAACAGATGGGCTGAATAGACAAACTTTCATACCACACATTGTAGATCAGAACAGCAGAAAACAAAAACAAGCAATGCGGAATAAACAAATGCACTGGTTTCGCTTTAAAGATACGCTTTAAGCTTTAGAACTGCCTTCACTTGACCACTTCCACATAAACCCTCTTTCTTAATCATATCTTCTCCACCACACTCAGTCTCATAGTTACTCTGTACATACATATATGTATGGCACACAATCACTCAGCGTCTTATCGTATTTCGCATTGCAGTTGCACTTCCTCTTGGATAGAGATGCTGTGGAAAATCTCAGATTCACTGAAGCTCTCAATTTCACTGTAGTGTGACACGGTATACCATAGCTGCTACTGATGTTATTGTGTTTGCTGTTGTTGCTGTTGTTTGTTTTTGCTATTGCAGCACATGATTATGTCAGTGCAAATGCTGCCGGGATTAAGACAACATTGCCAGATAACGGTAATAACGGTACTCAGAACAATACTTGTTGTAAATCTGTTGCTCACATTGTAGATGTAGTTGTAGTTATATTGTGGTTGTTGTTGCTAATTTTACAAGCGGAAGCCAAAAGACCTTCACCAATCCAAGCTGCTTAATTAGTATCCTTGAGATGCACTGAGTCGTAGTGAAATGCCTTAGACACTGAGGATTGTCAGGCGTCGCTTTGGAGTTGGTTGCGTTGATAAAATAATATTTTTTGTGAAAATGTAATAATTTAGAGGGTAATTATTTTGCCATGTTAATTCCAAAACTCGGAATATTTTCTTTCATTGAATGTTTTTTATTTTTTCCATTTAAAAATGTGGAATTTATTGAATTAAAAATTAATATTATAGGAATCAAATATTTTCCCTGTTTTATTTTAGGAATATTTCATTAAAATTATTTTGATATATCTCATGCAAAATAGTTCATAGTCATAGTGTAGCCACATCAAATATAAATATTCAAAGTAACTGACATTTAATATGAATTTGAAAGTTCGGAAATAACAGAAAATTATTTATACAATATTTTTGTAATTACGGAACGCATATGTGACTTGAACTAAAAGCATTTTCTTATAAGTATTAAGTAAACTAAAGGCCTGGTTTGTTTGTATGAATTGAATATAGAGATCACCACATCTTCTCATCAGACTTCATTTGGCAAAGATCGAACCATCGGGCGAGTGCTCTACTACTACGCCAACATCAGAGATATAATCTATTGTTGTGTTATTCCATTCAATATTAACCTACAAGAATTAAGTGTGCTAATTTTGCCGCTATTTTCTTAATGGTTTGGTTAGTAAGTTGCTTTGGAATCCTCTATATTTTCAAGCGTTAATTGACAGAAAAATGTACGTTAAGTATCAGGCTCAATTTTTCATCATATTTTGGTTCCAATATTTTATTATGTTTTGTTGCACTTATAATTTTTTCATACTTTATTTTAATTTCTTTTACTTTTTTATTAATACTATTTCTTTTTATTTGTTAAAGCTTTTTTTATTTTATTATATTTTATTCTTTCTATTCATTTTTTTACAATTTTTTTATTTAATTTTTTTATAATTTGATATTTTTCATTTCGTTATATTTTGTTTTGTTTTGTTTTATTTAAAATAAGTGATTTTATATAAATTTATATAGTTTAGCTCTATTTGATTTTATTATAATTCTTTTATTTTTTTATATTTTTTTTTATTCTATTTATTATATATTAATTTACTTTATTTAATTTTATGTTACTTTTTTTTCTTTTATTTTATTTTTTTTCATTCCCTTTATTTTCTTTTAAAGATTTTATATTATTTTATTTAATTTAAATTAAACTTATTTAATTTTATTTGATTTTCTTTTAAATATTATTATTTTTATTTTTTTACTATTTTATTCATTCATATTTAATTTAATTTTTTTAATTTTTATATATTATTTGAATTTTTGTTTTATATTATTTTATTTTACTTAATTAATTTTATCTTATTTTATTTTACTTTATTTAATTTCATTCATTTTATTTTGTTTTAAAGATTTTAAAATGTTTTACCTTATTTTGTTTTATTTAATTTAACTTTATTTTAATTTATTCAATTAATTTTAATTTTTTATTTGTTTATTATTTCCCTTTTTCTACCTAATTTATTTTTTTTTAATTTTTCTATATTATTTCCTTTTTTCTTTTTATTTTTTACAATTTTTTACTTAATGTTATTTTGTTTTTTTTTTTTTACAAATTTTACTTTATTTTATTTCGTAATAGTTTATTTTGTTTTATTTTATTTTAAATGAAGTGATTTAACATAATATTATTTAATTTGATTCTATTTAATTTTACCATTCATTCCTTGATTTTTTTTATTTTATTTTATTGTATTTAATTTTATTTTATTTTAGCTTATTTCATTTTATTTAATTTAATTTTATATTACTTTTTTTAATTTTTTTGGATTTCATATTGTTTTATTTCATTTTGTTTTAATTAATTTAATTTACTTTTATTTTGTTTTAATTATCTTTAATTTTGATTTTATTTTATCATTTTTTTATTTTTAATTTAATTTTTTTTCTTTAATTTTTTGTTTATATTATCTTTATTTACTTAATCTTTTTTATTTTATTTAATTATTTCTTATTTCTTTTCTGTTATTTAATATTATTTTATTTTATTTGTTTTTTTTATTTTTAATTTAATTTTTTTTCTTTAATTTTTTGTTTATATTATCTTTATTTACTTAATCTTTTCTATTTTATTTAATTATTTCTTATTTCTTTTCTGTTATTTAATATTATTTTATTTTATTTGTTTTTTTTATTTTAATTTGTTTTATTTTATGTAATTTTTTTTTTGTTTATTTCGTTTTTTTTTTGTTTTATTTTTTACTAAATTTTGTTTTTTTTATTTTAAGTTAAATTGTTTTATTTTATTAAATTTGTAATAAAAAACATAACTTGATGAGAAACATTCAGCAGCATAATTTTCTTTAATTACATTTACTTGCCTTGTATTGATTAATTCAATAGTGATAATCGTATAAAAATCACGGAAGATCCGCAGTGAATGCCAATACAAACATGCATGCTTGCATATGTATATGTGTCTAATTTTCACATGTCATTAATTGTTCTGCAGTAAATACTCAGTGAAGTGCATGAGATAGGAGCTCTACCTGAAATATAATTCTATCTTATCTACAAATACATATAAATTTTCGCGTACGCTATAATGTTGCCGACAGCTGGGTAGAACTTCAATTGCAAGTGCGTTTGTATGTATTTCATATACAATACATTAATTTTTATGTAAAACTCCAAATAAATGAGTACGTAATATAACTGTTACTGAAATTACCAGGAGCTATCAAATCAAATGGGCAAATCAAATTATGATATCTGTCATTTGCACACACACATTCATTCAATTGATAAATTTTCATTACGATTACTCAGTAGCAGCGTATTTTGGGTTTGTAGAAATATAATTCATTGAATGCGAATAAACATAATCTACTTTACTCTGGAAGCAATGAGCGTGTATAAAGCGATAAGCTATTATACGATATAATTTTAGCTTTTATGAATAAAGCTAATAAGTATATATGATTAAATTTTAAGAGGCGCAGCAGCTGTAATGGTTGTTTTTTGCATATCAAAAATAAAATTCTGTAAGCAGGTTTCAAAAATTTTCCACGAAAAATTTTCTTACTGTTTCACTTTTTGCAATTTTTCCTCCTTCATTAGACTTTTTAGAGAAATTTTTAAATTTTTATTTTACTTTTTATAAATTTTTATCATTAAAATTATTGAGATGTGCTTGATTCCCTTTTACCCGAGCACAAAGTTAATTTCACTTACCAAAGACACAGCAGATTTCGAGTAACTGGAAAAAAGTGAGAGAAAGAGAGAAATGTGATTAAAGAGAATACTCAAAAATATTCATTATTCAAATTGCATTTCACTTTCAATTATGGAAAATTATGAGTTTGCGTAAGAGAATTTTAACAAGCATTTCCAGTGGTATCCGCGAGAAATAAAACGAAATGTACACACATACACACATATACTACACAAGTATACCCAGTAAACATTTGGATTTCCAAAAGCACTATTAATGGTTCATATTCGTTTTCAGCAGCCTGGTTAGAGACAACCGATCGAAGATCTCTGTTTTTGGATGATGGTTTTTACATTTTGATGGTGACTTACATTTTGAATTCATATGAATCTCATGAATCATCATCACCTTGTTCTTGTTCTTATATGGTTCAAAAGTAACTTATGAGTAGTATGTGAATCATACTGAAATCACATTTATTTTGTATATCTTCTTAGCTTGAATATAATCAATTGTTCGACTTATTTTCAACCACTTGTCATTTCGATTAGAATCATATGAGTCAAAGGTGCAGAATTCTGTATTAGTTCATATTTAAAGTGTTATTAAAACACCTCATGACGCTTATATGAATCATATACAAGTCAAATTTGATTCGTACTTTTCCGCTTTTGGAAAATATTTAATAAGCTGATTCACAAAGACTCATTTTTATTCTATTGCAATTTTTATTTGAATCAAATGAGTCAAAGTTAACGGCTTCTGTTTTTATTTCATTTCTATTATACTTATATGAATCCTATGTAAGTCAAACTTAGTCCGTACTTTTTCACATCTTGAAAATAATCAATTTGTTGACTCCCGTAGACCCGTTGTGGATCACTCGTGGATTTTATTTGAATCAATGGAGTCAAACCTATAGCATTTATGTTTATTTTATATTTGTACCGTAAATTTATTACAGGCCAATATTGAGTACTTAACTAATTCAATTTAGGATTCACTGATAATTTTTCATGAAGCATAAATAAGTCAATCTGTCAAATTCCATTTCAAACTTTCCTTGGTCTAAGCATATTTTTGGTAAAGCTCCAGCAATTATTTTAAATAAATAAATTTTACCTGCTCAATCCTGTTCGCTGGGCATGATTATACGCATATTTATTATGCGCACAAATGTAGGCATTCATAAATGAAAAATAACAAGACAAATTTAAATGCGTGTGATGGGAAAAGTTAAAACTTCAAATTGACCGCAATAAAAATGAGTGTGGTAATGCTGTTGGCGGTTTCGGCAATGGCTGCAGCTGCGGCTGCGGCTGACACCAATACTGCTCCTTCAACCGTGACGACATCTTTATAGCATATTTTACGGTGGCACGCACAGGCATACAAATTTATCTGCTTTGCATACACTTACAACATACATTTCAGTAGTAGTTAAGTATACACATATATATATTTCACTTATAACCTCCAAAGGAATAGTGAAACCGTTATAGGGCCGCACGACCGTAAAGCGTTCAACTGTCATCATTTTGACAGGCAACAATAAGCATACGAAAGAGATGATAATAAAAAGCGCACAACACGCTGTCGGCTCATGCAAATAAAGTGTGTCGGCGACAAATAACAAATTACATGAATATAAAAGGAACATATACCCACACATGTTCACAAACGCAGCCATATATTGTATAACAACGCCGCCATCTTGATGGTGATGCTGACGATATACGAATAAAAATCGGAAGAGTAATAATGTCTATGTTATATGTGAATGTTGAGAGCCAGCAATGTCGTATTATGCTTCCATACGCCATTTCTCGACAGCGGCCTTTGGAGGCGCGTCTCGCCTTAATTCGGCTCGTCGCACATTTCGCATATGTGACAGTCAAATTTTAAATTATGCAAAGTTGACGCGTATTAATGTTAACATGTAACTTTTAAGCATGTGCGCGTGTGGTGCTTTACCTTATGCCGTGAATATGGGCCAACTTCATGAGAGGGCACACTTCCAACACAACATAGCGAAATGTGCATACGTATGTGTGATACTGTGTACAATGTTCAATTTAAATATTTTAGTTATATTTAAATTCATTTACTTTATTTTATTTTAGGTTATTTTATTTATTTTTTTTTTTATTTTATTTTATTTTAATTTATTTTAATTTATTTTATTTTATTTTATTTTATTTTATTTTATTTTATTTTATTTTATTTTATTTTATTTTATTTTATTTTATTTTATTTTTTTTTATTTTATGTTATTTAAATTTTTTAATTTAACTTTTCTTTAATTATTTTCTGAATTTAATATATTTTAAATTCAGCTATGATTTTAAATTCCACAGTCCATTATTCCCATTTCTGAAATTCTGAGAATACTCCTTGCAGATATGTGGCCAAAAATAACGGTGCTTGTAATTATATTAAAATTATTCACATTTCTTTCATTTGCTGGTTTTCGTTCTTTTTTACTTTTAAGGCAGATGAGACACACATACATAACAGAAATGCGGCTGCTCATGTGTTCACAAGTGTGACATAAGATTTAATACATTTATTTATACATTTAATTTGTCACAAACAAATGAAGTATGAATGAATACACAATTTTACTGTCATATTTTATAGAAGTCAATTTAAAAATATTTTAATATGTATATGTTTCCTTAAAACTTTTCTGAGAACTGTTGTGATGTCTTTGAAGGGATCTCAGCGTGCCTTTCATCACAAACATGTTGTCCTTTATGAGCTGCTTGTTGCAGCGGAAGTAGTACATAAATTATGATGGCAGCTGAAATATGATTTTCTTCTTTATACAGCTTTTGCTAATTTTCTCTCGAGTGAAATTGTCAATTTAAATGCATTATTATTTTATATTGTTTTTGTTGATTTTAATTTTACGTACACAAGCAAGTCTCATTCTCGAACAATATTAAGTCTGATATTTTTTTCATAATTTACTTGCCAATGCCACTGAAAATCCGCTTAAGTCTTTGTCTTTACTTCGCTGTGCTTTTAGTTTTTGCTGTCAATATTTAATACCTTTGCCCTCGCAAATTTTTAATTTTCTCTAAAAAACATGATGTCCTTCTTGTCGACAAGGTGATTGATTGACTTGCCTTTGTTTTGAATTTTATACTTGGAGCCACCGCGTTTTTCGTTGCTTTGGAGTTCTATAAATGTTTTGTTTTCGTTTCCCCAAAAAAACATACTCCCGCTTTCTGTTTGTATTTTATGAGTTTATAATAAATTGTTTACTTTTTACTTGTACAATATTATTTTATTTTAATTGATGTTGTTTGATTTTTTTTCTTATATTTTTTTTTTATTTTATAATCTTATATATTAATTTTTTTTAAATATTTTCATTTTATTTTACCTCAATTTATTTCAAATTTCTTTTTTTTAATTTATTAATTGATTTCGTTTTAGCTATTATTTCTTTTTATTATTACTTTGTTTCATCTCATTTTAGTTCTCTTATTTTATAATAAGTTGTTTAATTTTAATTTTAAACATATTTGAAATATTGGATGAGTGCATAAATTCGTACCCGATTTCAAGTGCATACTAAAATTGAAATTTTTTGAAGAAAGGGGTTTTTGTAATCAATTATGTATTCGCCATCATGTTCGGCAATCCACTCCCAACGTTCAACCAATTTACGGATGCCTGATTCATAGAAATCGCGCGGTTTCTCGTTGAAAAAGGTGTCAAGGTGGTTTTTGACGTCTTCCACATTTTTAAATTTTTTTCCATTCAAATTGTTCTGCAGCGATCGAAACAAATGATAATCAGAAGGTGCAATGTCGGGTGAATATGGGGGATGCGGCATGATTTCCCAATTCATCTCCTTCAGTTTGGCCAGGGTCGGTTTTGCAACATGTGGCCTGGCGTTGTCATGATGGAAAAGAACTCCTTTGCGATTGGCCAAAATCGGACGTTTTTCATCAATTGCTTTCTTCAATTCGACCAATTGCTGACAATACTTGTTGGCAGTGATCGTTTCTCCAGCTGGCAAGAGCTCAAAATAGATCACGCCTCGGATATCCCACCAAATGCACAGCAGTACCTTCATCGGATGCAATCCACCTTTCGACATCGGTTCCGCCCCTTCGTGTGCCTGTTTCCATGTTCTTTTGCGTTGAACATTGTTGTACAGGATCCATTTTTCATCACCAGTCACGAGCCGATCCAAAAAAGGTTCGTTTTTGATCCGTCGAAGCAAAGAAATTGCTGTTGACATACGGTCCACTTTGTTTTTTTCACTCAACTGATGTGGCACCCATGTATCGAGCTTCAAAGTGTACCCAACCTTTTTTAAACGACGAAACGCAGTTGATTTGTTGACGTTCAATTCACTGGCAACCTCTTCCGTCGAAATACGTGAGTTATTCGCAACTAAAGTCCTTAGAACATCGTCATCAAGCTCAGAAGGCCGTCCACTGCGAGGTTGATCTTCGAGGTTAAAATCTCCAGAACGAAATTTCGCGAACCATTTCTTTACTGTGTGGAGTGCTGGAGCACGGTCCAAATAAACTCCGCGAATATATTTAGTTGCAGCGCCTACTGTTTATCTTTTGCGGAATTCGTATAACATAATATGACGCATATGATCTTTTTCGTAGTCCATCTTCCATGCGTCTTTTCACTAAGAAACTCAAATCAAAATGAAGTTATTTTATGTTCGGTTTACAGTTCGGACTGTCACCTTTCCAACGATATATAATATGTATATATTTCTTTCACGAGCGCGACTCTCAACCGATTCGTACGGCATCCAGCGGAATCGGGCACGAACTTATGCACTCATCCAATATATTTATTTTGTTTTTTTTTATATTATATTATTTCATTTTTATTTTGTTTTATACCTTTTTTTTTGTCACTTTCTTTTACATTAATTCTCCTTTATTGATTCATTAGTTTCCTATTAGGGAATCCAATTTTTCTCAACTTTCTTAAAAGCTTTACGCCAATCAAACTTGTATGTACTTACCAGTTACATTAATTTCAATTTCTGTCAGTTCTGT